AGATAATTTTTAATTAATTAATTAATTTAAAGTCAATTTTTACAACTTTTTATATAAATTAATTACAAAAATTATATTTATTATATTAAAAGTTACATGTTAGAAACATATTAATTAAATTTAACATCTCTTGGGCTCAAACCTCCATGCACATTTTAAGGGACAAGACAACACATCACTAGACCTATTCCAAGATTATTGATGAAAGTTACACAACATTATATTTATTGATATCTAATTAAACTAGTGATTTTAATGATTTAATTGATTAAACTAGTCAAATCGAGACTCGGAAGTCAAAACGGTTTGACCTCCAGGTCGGTTTTCAAAACATTGTATTGAGTATAATCTCTCATTTAATAATATACAAAAATTATATAAAAAGTTATACAAAAATATTGTCTCTATATTACTAATTGAGGTTTTTTGTTTCATTGAAATTAAGGATTTTTTTTTTTAACATGGGTTACTTAATAAGAATTAATTATCTCTCATCCCTTAACTCATTTTACCCATATACTATATAACTCGAATTTAAAATTTTTTCTATTAAAAAGAAATTGCTATTGAGTTACTTAAATTATTAGCTGAAATTAAGGATTAAAATAAGGAAGATAAACACCAAATATTATAAGAAAATGAAGTTTGTGGTAGTGTAAGTGGATAAGATGAGAGAATTAAATCAAATCTTGAAGTGCACTAAATATTACTTGAGGATTAGTATGTTGTATTCAACCAATGTGATGACGGGGCAATTTTAAGCAAGTTTTGGTTTATACTCCCTAATAATAATCTTTCCTCTTTCAAACCCCCTTTCAAACCCCCTTTCAAACCCCTCCTCACCTATTGCAAGATTCCAACATAAAACTTGCAGCACAAAAGACTCGAACTCTTTAACCTTTAAGACGTTCATTATGAGACCATGGAAAATTATGATCTCATTTGAAACATTTTATGCTACCTAGATATTAAAATTTAAATCTTTTACGATAAAGATAGAAATATAGAGGTCCAGAAATAAGACACTCAAACCACCTTTACGAATTCTGAAACATGTCGCTAAAATAAAGTTCCTTTTTTACTTCATAATCTTTTTATTGCATATCCTTGATAACATAACTATTCATATAATATGATGTTCTTCTGGAGCGACAATCCTACATGTTATTATGATATTGCAAAGTTTTCTCAAGTGCTTAAGTTGGACCACATAATAAGTGCTACAAAGAGAAAGAGTGGCATCCCTGTTTTTAAGTTTTGGCTACAATCTACATGATCCACAAACATCCATAATAATATAACTATTCATATAATATGATGTTCTTCTGATAGCAGAAGTACTCAATATTATTGTGATAATACATAGTTTTCCCAAGCGCTTAATTTGGACCACACAATAAGTGCCACATAGAGAAAGAGTGGCATCCCCATGGAGTACTACAATCCACATGATCCACAAACTCACCTAATGCATCATCTCCAACTACCTTATTACCAAGCTTCATCATATATGCAAACCCAGATTTGAGCAAGAGGAAGAGGATCCACTTCTATATATAGGGATCTAGTTTTCTTTGCCAGCTTTATTCTCACCGCCTTTCAAGAACTTTGAGAACCAATATGCAGAAGATTTCGGATGCCGGGTGAGACCATTCTTGTAATCCACGTAAACCATACCAAAGCGCTTGGTATAGCCTTGAGCCCACTCGAAGTTGTCCAATAGTGACCAAGCAAAGTAACCCCTGACATCTACTCCATCCCTGTCCATGCAAATGATAAACA